ACTCTGATGAGACTCTCAGAGGGTTCAAATCCCACTTCTACCACTAATGAACAGTGTAGGAGTAGAATGAATTAACTTCTCTAAGCCTCAATTTCTGCATCTACAAAATCAAAACCAATTCAAGCCGAAACCGGTTTAGCTCAGTGGATAGAGTGTCAGCCTGCGGACTGAGAGGTCCCAGGTTCGATTCCGGTCAGGGGCATGTACCTTGGTTGCGGGCACATCCCCAGTGGGGAGTGTGCAGGAGGCAGCTGGTCGATGTTTCTCTTTCATCAATGTTTCTAACTCTCTATCTCTCTCTCCTTTCCTCTCTGTAAAAACTCAATAAAATATATTTAAAAAAACAAAAAAAAAACCAATTCAAGATAGTGACTATTTCATTAAATTAGAATAGATATTGTGATTAGATCGTGTTAAGTGTTCAATGTATAATAAATGCTCACCATATAGTAGCTGTTCTATGCTGGAATACAAACAATTCATTTCATTTTGTAATTCTACTTATATTTCCTTTCACGCCTTTAAAAAAAAATCTACAAATTTTTCCTTTTTACTCTTAATCCTACTGAATTATTTGTGTTTGCACAATCTCCTCAAATTCTTTGTAGAGGGAGAATTGGTATTAAGAGAAAATACAATAAATAAAAAATATTCTTCCATGTCTTTCTTCAAAGAAAAATTTTCTAAAATGAGTACTGATCTTGCGCAATGAGTGTGCAGTAGAGGATCATTTGGCACTTTCTAACTTCAATACAGAGAAGTGTTTTCAGGAGAGGGTCGGGAGGCTGTGTGAGGACCCTCATGAAACCGATTCAGGCACCTTTTTCCCCAGCAAGATGGAAACTTCAGGTTAAACACTTCCACTATGACTGACTCATTTGGCAGAAAAAGAAGTCCAGATGCCAAAAGGATTTAAATTTTAAAAAAATGGTGAAGAAAAGGCAGAGGTAGGAGAGCATATCCTATTCCATCAAGTTATAAAAAATGAAATAATCACGAGGGGCAAAAAGGAAGATGCATTGACCTTCAAAGGTAAAAGCAAGGCCTAGGACACATCTTAAGGTACACTTTACACCAAAGAGTGGTAAGAATCAAAACAGATTTTTACTGAATTACTGTACCATATAAGTCAATTACCTATAGGATGACAAAAAAAATCATGTCAACCCAAGCAAAACATTCATGTCAAAATATACCAACAGACCCAACACTATCTATAATAATAAAAGCATAATATGCTAATTAGACCGGACAACTTTCTGGACTAAGCCGCGGTGCCCCAGAGGCAGAGGCAGCCACCATGGCGGTGGGGGCCAAGCCCCTTGCACGAATTTCATACATCAGGCCTCCAGTACTTTAATTAGACTACTGTGAGAAATAATCAGAGTATGGATACAACAAATAAATACATATGCCTAAAGTCATCAAATTGTGTACATTAATCATGTGCAGTTTTTTATATACAACTTATATTTTTACAGAGCTAAGGAAAAATAATAAGAGTAGTTGTTTGATCATTTAATTATGTGAAATAACTAGCTTATTTTAACTTTTTTCTAAGCATTTTACAACCTTTAGATAATTTCTTCCATAACAATAGTGCTAATGATAGATTCATTATTTCTTACAGCTCCCACCATTTTTGTAAATATATGATGAAAATATTTAATCAACATAGTTCATACATCCTTAGATTTTTCATCTTTCTTGTTTTGACAATTCCCAGAATACATAAACACAACAATGGGCAGCCCACTGCTCCAGCTATCTACATCTTTATTAGTCACCAAAGTATCTTTGAAGTACACTGCCTTTAACACTTGTCAAGGAAGATAAATAAGGGAACGAGAATTAAGCATCTAGAAAGTCCATAGCAAAGAAGAATTAAAAAGAAGGTTTATGGGGTGTATCATACCATTTAATTAGCAAAAAAAAAAAAAAGATTATTCAGCACCAACTAAGTACAAGGCAATGTGCTAAAAACGTAGAATGAAAAATAAGGCATGGTTTTTACTTCGATTCACCATATATTGAAAGCAAACTTCAGGTATATCATTAAAAACAATTATGTGTCATAAATCTCATGTTGAACAAACCAAGTATGGAAACACAGGAAAATTTTCCCTAATTATCGCTGGTTTAACTTCTTTTCTCTGTAAGGTGGGCAAGTTGTCTTAGGTTCCTTAGCTCTCTTCAAAATCTAACATTTTGTGATAATATTTTATTTAAAAAATTTTTTTAAATCTTTATGGTTGAAAGGATTACATATGTCCCCTCTGCCCTGCATTGGCCCCTTCTAGCCTACCCCCACCCCAATTTATTTCAATCTTTTCTTAGCAGAGAGCTGGGAGATTTTTGCCTTTAATAAGTTAGGTACTTGTGCCAGAGAATATGTAAGCTTTTGATCAAATGCTTTAGTTCAATAGGACAAGGATATTCTCACTGATTAGCAACTGAGGAAGCAGAAACCATTAGCTAAAACAAAGTTTTAGTCTGATTTCTCTTGCTCCATCCAGCATTCCTAGCATGGGTGTGACTAACACTAGCATTCTTTGACAAACAGCAAATATATTTGATTAAAAGCTTTTTTTAATCTGTCACCATCACACTCCATTTTTCATATAATAATCAGGTGTGAAAACTCAGTTAACTAAAGAAAAGAATAAATACTAAAAACATAATAACATGTGTTAGTTACAGTTGCCCTAAGCTGTCCCCTCTTCCCTGTCTTTTTGCCTCACATTTGTGTGATATTCATGGCTGTGAAAGTTGTAAAGATTAAATAAAATAAATGACACATGGAAAGCCTTCAATAAGTAATAGCTCTTCTTACCATTGCTATGAATACTACCAGTACTTATGCGTTTTTTTTCTGCCATTCCCCACTCTCAAAGCTTCCCCAAGTGTAATGCTCTGTCTAGTACTGAGAACACTTGAGAAGGTCTGGGAATGCATACAGAAAAAAATATATTTAATTTAGTAATCATATATGTATATTAAAGTGACTTACCAGATTTGTTATTAAACAAATTTAACTAAGTTAAAAAAAATAGTAGTGTATTTACAGAAGCACAATAGTATGTAAATATGTCAAAAGTCATGAAGATGATCCATGGACATCGAAGGTGGGAAACAAATAGAGCATAAACCACTGCTTTCACAATCTAAGGCAGTGGTTCTCAACCTTGGCTGCACATTAGAATCACCTGGGAATCTCTTTAAAATCCTGATTTCTGGGCCTCATCCTCTGGAAATTCTGTTTCTTTGTTACTAATGTTGTGGCCTCACCCCATAAGAAAGAAACAGAACCAGACATTTCCTGCCGTCAGAGTCCTAGAGATGCATAACTAAAATAGTCGGTGAAAAATGCTATAATTCTCAGAGCTCAATAATTCAAGTCTTTATTATTTCTGTCCTTAAAATGCAGAAAGTGTACAGCTCTTCTTGTATTTCCAGAGCCTGGGTCAGTGCCTGACACATTATAGGTATTTAGTCAATATTTATTGAATGAATAAATGAGGGAATTATAAACGTATAACGTAGAGTTCTCAGAAGAAGGGTGTGGGGAAAGCAAATAAGAAAGAGAACTTCTGAGGCCCAAAGTCAGGCCATTTCTTTGGTGGCTTCTTTTATCTACTATGTGTGGAAATGAGAGCCAAGCCGTGATCTCACTCCAGTAGAACCTGCTGGGCCAGTGCAGTCGGCAAGTAAGGTGAGGCCGACCACTCATGTCAAACACAACAAACTTGCCTAATGGATTCCCACAAGTACATCGTGATTGCCCTCTCCGGCCAAATCTGCCCTGGTAAGCTAGATCTAATTATCCACCATGGAATTTGGCCAGTTACACTGAGATTATAGTATGTTGAGAAAGCTGAACTTTAACCACACAGAAATAAAATCACAAGCATCTGGGACACTCCCTATTGTCTCTGGGTGATTTTTGAATCTTTTTTTTTTTTTTTTTTTCAAAAAGAAAACAGTTGCTTTGGAGTCAATGAGTTTTCCTTTCAACGAGAGCAGTGATTCTCAACCTTGGCTGCGCATTAGAATCTTTTTAAAATCCTGATTTCTGGGCCTCATCCTCTGGAAATTCTGTTTTTTTGTTACTAATGATGAGGCCCAAAAATCAGGATTTTAAAAGATTCCCAGGTGATTCTAATGTGCAGCCAAGGTTGAGAACCACTGAACTAGAGGGAAATGTAAGTCAAATTGATTCAATTTTTTTAAAATATATTTTTATTGATTTTTTACAGAGAGGAAGGGAGAGAGATAGAGAGAGTTAGAAACATCGATGAGAGAGAAACATCGATCAGCTGCCTCCTGCACACTCCCCACTGGGGATGTGCGCACAACCCAGGTACATGCCCTTGACCGGAATCGAACCTGTGACCTTTCAGTCCACAGGCCGACGCTCTATCCACTGAGCCAAACCGGTTTTGGCTGATTCAATTTTTTAATATAAATTGTCTGCACATGTCTTTACTGAAATAATTTAAAATTATTTAAAAATGAATTCTGATATCTAAATAGAATACTGCACCCTTTATTAATCACCAAAAAATATTTATGTTAGGTGCAGGAAGAAAGTACAAAATGAATAAGATGCAGTCTCAAGTGCTGCCTTTTACAATCAGATTTCAACTAAAGTAGTTCAAAGCCGAAGAAAATGTTCTTCATCCCTCAGCAATAGATGCAGTAAAGTTTTTTTCAAATTTACAATAGAAGGTAAGCATGCACATTGTCACATGTCCATGTCATGAAGCTAAACAACTTTTAATGTTCCTTTTAAGCAAATTTTCCAAATTTTTGGTAAACAAAAATTGTCTCAGGGTTATATTTGTGTGGGTGGCATTCTCAAGCTTTCTGGGTCCAGCTGGGCTAAGTACTCTCCATAAACAAAGGAGAGGTTTATCAGAGTTTTCTTCACTTTGAAAAATAGTTCCCAGCAGGATCCCAACAGCTGGACAGTTTGCACAGCGCGTTACGCTTTTGCTCACCTTATATACAACTCCTCAGGATCGCACCTATAGGAGAGAGGCAGGTTACACAGGCGACATTTGTTCTGCTCACCATCTCAGAACTGACTCACTGGCTTTCATTTTCTCTTTTTCTTTCCTCCCAGTATGTCCCTTTCCTCTCGCATTGATGGACGCCACTTTGCAACATGACTCCTTCCTTTTCTCTCTTTTTATCTCATGTCATCAACCTCACTGGTACATTTGTTTTCTGAGAATTTCTGCCTTGGCAGAGAGTTTCTTAGTGGAGCCACAGGAGTGACTAAGCAAAGTTAGAGAAAGCAAAGCTGATGCTATTGGCAGTGAGACATGCTAGAAAGAATACCAGCTTGAAACCGAAAAACCAGGGGGATTGGTTCTGGCACCAAGCTTCACCACGTGTCCCTTGAAATTCAAGGAACATCTTGAATGTGTCAGTCTCCTCATCTACATAATTAACATGCTAACACAAAAATGACAAAGTCTAATCAGACTGCAGGAGAGCTTTTTGTCACATTAATTTGTGAAGTGCTTATCTCTGGGTCATGTGAGATGTGGTTGTCAGTAATGTCGGTCACCAGCTGCAAAGGAGATACCTGTGCACACCTCTGTCCCCAGCCTGCTGTCCACTCTTGCCTCTCAGGGGTATTTAGGAGTTCATTCCTCGAGGTACAAGAAATCCATACATATGAACAATCCTGCCATCTTTGTACTCTATCTAGTTTTTGGTTTCATTAAAGCTTCTCCCAGTCTGCTTTATTGACAGACCGATGCTAGCCATGATCTTTTCAACTGGCAAACAGGGCTCACACCCCCAGCTGCAATCTGGTTATCTACCAGCATCTGATTGAACTAGAATTGAGTAGGGTGATGTCACTCTGTAGTCAGGCTGGCTTTCGTTTAAACACACATTATAATGGAAGAGCTGAACACCTTGAACTTGTTATTTAATTTCTCTGAAGCTCCATTTTCTCATTTATATAAAGAAGGCCTAATATCTACACTGTAAAGGGATGAAGCCTTATTATATATAGCCCAAGAGGTAAAAGTAATATGCAACCCAAATGTGGATATTTAGAATTTTCCAGATATTTAATTTATAGTCTCTTAAAGATAAAGGATTTTAAAGAAAAGTAACTGTGCAATTAAAATAAGATACACTTGCCCTGGCCAGTGTGGCTCAATTGGTTGGAGCATGGTCCCATATATCAAAAGGTTGTGGGTTCAATTCCTGGTCGGAGCACATACCTGGGTTGCAGGTTCAATCCCAGTCAGGGTGTGTATGGAAGGCAACCAATCAGTTTTCTCTCTTCTCTCTCTCTCTCTCTCTCTCTCTCTCTCTTTCTCTCTTGTCCCCTCTCTCTGAAATCAACAAGCATACCCTTGGGTGAGGATTTAAATTTTTTTAGAAAGTAAGATATTGTGGTTTCTTTGAGCTCTGCTCTGGCACAATGATTAAAAGTAGCAGGTACTTAATTATTTTTAATGAGTAAATAATGAATAAATGAATTCTATAGAAGTTTAGAGAAATATTGAATTTCACATCTCTCTAGGTGTGAACCGATACCTCCTAACCTACAGTGTATTGTATTTCCTGTCTTCTCTACAACTGACATGAAAATTGTCCTAAAAAATTTCATTATTTTATGCCTGTCACAGTATAGAAATAAGCAACCAGAAATGTATTTTCTCCCAAAGTTATCTCTTTATTTTTATATTTTTAAACTTTTTATCAAAACAAGTTTCTAGAAATCATTAAGAAACACAATTGTGTAAGTATTATAAAGAAACAGAGTTGTGCAAGAAGAGGCTTTACAAAGCCCTTGTGTAATACTGCTTTGAGTACTTTCCATTTTCATGGCCTCCTCTTAAGAAAACATGTTTTGCTAAAGTTCATTATTATTTTCCTAGAGTATACATTTCCCCCTAAGTATGGAAAGAAATAAAAATAATTATACTAACCATGAATTTTTTTAACTAAGCCTCAAATCTATTTTTTCCTACAGATTCACTGTGACAGCAACAGGTAAAATTGAATGAGAGCCGAATGCATTATCCTGTAAATTGAATTTAGAAGAACAACCAAATACAATAAATCAATCCAATACCTTACTTTTAACTTTCTTTCAAACCAGAACATGAGTTCCTTAAGTAACTCAAACAGTGCCCCCCAATCTCCACTTCCCTTTCTACAGGAAATATGACTGGAAACCATCTTGGAGTGCCATGAAAGCTGAGGGGCAAAGCTAAATTCCATCTGAAAGCACAAGGAAACAGGACCAGCAAGAATGAAAGATGCCTGTCCTGTTTCCAAAAGCAAGGGGAGGAGATAAGCCAAAAGAACAATGACATGTTACAGCCTAAGAGCTAAAATTAAATGCATGTAAACAATTCTTGTTGAAACTAGAAGCCAATGTAGATTAGGCAAGCCAGGTGACGAGTTCTTTCCTGCCAGAACAAGCCAGAATGAGAGTCACCTCCCTCACATTGCAACATGGCTAGGGATAGAAGTGAGGTTCATATGGAAAACCAGAGGATTATGAACTGAGTATGGCAACTCTTAAATTCTATATTAACTTATTGTATACTAGAGGCCTGGTGCACAAAAATTTGTGGGGACCCTCACCTCATGAGGGTGTGGCCAACCTGGGTGAGGGGCTAATGGCTGTTTGCAGGCTGGCCACAGCCCCTTCAGTGTGGGGGGTCCTGATGGGGTGACTGGCCAGTCTGGGTGAGGGACTGATGGCTGTTTTCAGGCTGGCCAAGGTCCCCAGCCACCCAAGCTTCCAGTGGAGGCTGGCTGGAAGCAGGTATCTGGGGTTTATTTATCTTCTATAATTGAAACTTTGTTGCCTTGAGCAGAGACCACAGCCGGCCAGGGCAGGCGGGAAGCTTGGCTTCTTCCATCACTGGGGCAACCAAGCCTCTTGCTTGCTCCAGCTCCGTGGCTGCCAGCCGCCATCTTGGTTGGGTTAATTTGCATATAGTCACTCTGACTGATTGGTGGGTGTGGCTTGGGGCATAGCAGAGGTACGGTCAATTTGCATGTTTTTCTTTTATTAGATTAGATACGAAAACCCCATATTTCTTCCTTATACCACCCAACATGCTGAAAGCCAGTTGTTTAAATAAAGGAATCTGAATGAGAACTTCTAACTCACATATAATTATTTCTCTTAACACATATTTCTTGAATAACCACTGTGGGCATGACCACTGTGGTAGAACCTTTGAATAATACAAAGATGAATAAGGCATAGTCCCTACCCTCAGAAGATCGCGGAAGTCAGACATGCACACAAATAACTATATGAGAATAATCAAAAAAGGGGAGAAAGAAAGAAGTTCAGCCCAAATTGATTTGTTGGCATTAATGTGTGAAAGAGTCATCTTTAAATCTTATCCCATAGCCCGGTTATTAGCAACTCCTTTGACCAGAATCCAACTATGATGTTAGTTTTTGCTGGATTTTAAATTAAACCTATACTACTGGTTCTCTGATGCAGCTAAATCATAGAAGGAGCCCTAGGTAGATATAAACTCCTACAATACCTTTCCAAAGACATTTGGGGCTCATTTTAAAAGACCATTCTCAAATATATGCAAGAAGCCAGAGGAGTTATGGAAGAAAATACCATCTATTAAATTAACTTACGATTCCTAAGTTTGTCATGAACAACTATAAACCTTTCTAAGTAAGCTAAATAGACATTAATGTGGAAGGGTAAATAAATTATAGAATATTTCCTACAATAATTTTAAAGAATGAGGTATCTCTAGCATAGAAACATCTCCATATGTAGAGAAGTGAAAGGAAACAGCCAGGAGGAAACAATTTAGGCTATAAACTAGGCCTGTTATTTGATGCAACTTAAACATTTTTTCTAAAGGTTAAGCAGAAGCAGGAAATGATACAAATATGCTAATAAAGTAGGAAATATGATGCACTCTTTACTTTTCACTATTATGTTACACCTCCAGAATTATAATGATTTAAAGTAAATTTTTTATAAAATGTTTTTGGTATTTGAATTAATTTTATTACCTACCAAAAAATATTTTGTCTTCAGGTATTGTCTTGAAGTACAGTGTGCAAAGATTTTTTATATTTGTCTCCATATATTACTAGGTTGTTTTAGACCCTATCTCTGTAGCCACTTTCATAAGCTTTACCTTCATGTGTAAAGCTTTCAATCTAGTTAACCCATGCACACTATAATTTCAATTCACAAAGGGAAAAGTGAACAGACTCAACTTCTATTATTAAGTGGATACCCTGCCTCCATATCAGCCCAAAACAGATCTGTTATCAGTTATCTTTATTCTTCTTTATAAGACAGGAGAAAGAAAAAGAGAGGAGGGAAAGAAGTTCAAGAAAAGATAGAAGAAAAGTACTGTCCACCCCAGCCAATAGCAGAAATTGCAAGTTGTTGTCTGTTAAAAGTCTGTTCCATTTATGATAAGTTATTTCCCCAGGCCCTATTCTGTGCCTTCTGTTTTAAGTGATTGCTAAAATCTTCCCCTTTATAAAACAACTGTTTATCATGACTCATGTCTATAATGACTTAGGACCCTCAAATGTGATCATAACCTTCTCCCCTTCTAAGAACATTCATAAAGATAAAAAGCCAGCCTCAGGTTTTTATGAGCTAGCTCACTTCTAGAAATGAGACAGCTTGCCACAGAACGAAAGCCCAATATCTTACTTTCTAAAAAATGTTAAATCCTCAGCCAAGGGTAGCTTGCACAGGAAGTGGGGCTCAACACAGCAGTTTGAATCAGCTTTCTATGAAGAAGACAAAGGCAACTACACAGAGAACAGTCATTACACAAGTAGAACAGGTGCATCCAGCCCCTCCTGGTGCCTCAGCCAAAGCTAAACACACCCAGGCTGTTCCACCAGAACTGGCCTGAATTCAAATCAATAGAAAGCTTGTTGCCATGGGTTGGGTGAAAGCTGTGTTTAATGCCAATCAACATATGCTTGATTATGCAACAGGGAAAATAAAAGAGTAAAGTAAACATGTGTACCTGTATCTATACAAATCTTTTGAAAGGACTTGAAGCTGAGAAACTAGAACCAAGAGAGAATGGTAGTAGCTCAATACGTTTGAAATAAGCTCCAACACT